TTTTTTTTAATTTCATTTTTAAAAATACCAATGTTAAGGGCTGGCTGAATGGCGCGTTGGTTAGGAGCTGGCTTGGGTCGCCAGCTCTGAGCAGTAGGGCCCCGGTTAGGATCCCACATGTGGGCCAGTGATGCTGCGCCCTCTACAGCTAACATGGAGAACAACAGCTTGACCTGGAGCTGCGCAGTCTTGAGCTGCCAGTGACAGCGTAGTTTGCAGCCCCTGTTTCAGTGGGCTGCTATGAGCTACCGCGAGTGGCTGGCAGCCCGAGTGAGCCGCCATCTGATGGCCGGCAAGCGACTGCCTCACCAGGGAAGAGCGCAATGATGGTACCAACATGGGCCAGTGAAGCGAAGCCCTCCACAACTAGACTGAAGAACAAAAGGACAGTAACTTGTCTATTTCCCTTCCCCAATTCCCCAATAAAATCTAAAAAGAAATGAATGTTATAAACAATGACAAATTGAGGAAGTATATTTGTAACTTTTATCACAAATGGTCAATTTCTTGAAGAAGTTCATATAAAATCAATAGAAGACTAATAATCCAATAGAAAAATGGGCAGTCTTGTATGATCTCCTACTTTAAAATTTTCAATCAACTATGTTACTTTTTTGAAAAAATGAATAAAATAAAATAAAAATGAAGATCATCCTACCTACTATTTAGATATCTCTTCACCAAAACTCTTACATATGGAGATTGACTTTGATGAATGAGTATTTTGTGGAAATTAAGAAAAGTATGTAACTTTCATAGCTGAAACAGTGAAAATCAACGCATAGCAGGACAAGAAGTCACTAGATGAAGTTAAAAAGTAATAGTTCACAACCACCAAACCCCAGTCTCAAGCCAACCATTCACATGATAGAAATTTTAGGGAATGTTTTAGACTTCCAGGGGAGCATTTTGGGAAATTGTACTTAGTTCTTGGGAAGCAAAGTGATTCCAGCAAACACTTGCGTTACTAGAGGATAAACATGAACTTTATTCAGCAAGTCTAGTCTCAAAACGTATTTATGATGGCTGATATGGCTCTGGGCCAGTTTCTTCCAGTGTACAAAATGAACTGACTGGTAGAACTTAATTCACATTGATATCCCCTGTATCTAATCCAGGACTTGGCAATAGAAAAGTATTTAATAAATTCCTTCACTTACTTCATTCTTAAATTGGTTTTTTTTCCTTCCAAAATTCACTCACATTGCAACAAATTGAAGCAAGTATCTTAACTGGGACTTGATTCAAAAACCCCAAAATAACAGGCTTTGAACAAATTAAAAAAAAAATCTCTCTCATGTTAAAGAAATCCACATGTAAGAAGGCCTGGGATTGGTGTGGCAGCTCCACTGGTAGCATCAGGGGATCAGGCTCATATTTTTTTCCCCAGCCTAGTACAAATCTTCCACTATCGAGTGAATTTGTGCTCTAGGTGGCTCTATAAATGTTGAGTGAAAGGAGATAGATACACAAGAGTGCATAGTGTATGATTCTAGTTATATGGAATTAATAAAAAATGGTGGTGATAAATGTCAAAATAGTCGTTATCCTTATATGGAGTTATTGACTGGGAGAGGCCACAAGGGAGCCTTCTGGGGAGCTAGAATGATTCATATCATTATCTGGGCAGTGTTACATATAGGAAGAATTTCTTGATATGTACACTTAAGACTTGTACACTTTATCAAATGTAAGATAACTAACTAAAGTACATCCCAGTTCTTTAAACTTACCTGTATTTTTTTTAGCTGAGCCATCCTGCCACCTGTTGGCAGCTCAGCGGCAGCTCAGCTTGGGCCGGGCATGGAACTTCTGTTGCTCAGAGCTCACACGCTTGAGCAAGCTCTTAACCAACTGAGCCACTAGGCCAGCCCTCTAAACTTATCTGTATTTTGTCAAGACAAATCGCTCCAAAGCGACCAAAGAAACGAGGTATTCTAAAGCATTTGTGTTCAGTGTCTAGCACAGTCTACCACAGTTGTTAAGGGTATGGCAACTGTCTGACTTTAGGAATACCTGGGTTCAAACCCTATCTCCATTTTTCATTTAATGTTTTTCTCTGAAAGGGGTATAAAAATAATGGCCCTTACTTTTTCCAAAATCATAATAGAGTCCCCTCTACGAGGATTTATGAGGCAATATGTCACGTTCTTAACATAGTGCCTGATATGTCCTAAAAGATAGTAGTTATTTTATTATATCATTATTAAAATCATCACCATTATTAACAAATGATAGTATAGGGATCTCAAATGATTCTATGGTCAAGAATTCCAAATAAACTGGTTAATATCCCCATGGATGTGAATATCCTACTGAAAACATGCACTTGACCATGAACCTGTTTTTCAGTTGAGAATTTACTCAAGAAGCTGAATCCCGTTCTTACTTCATATAGCTCTGCATTTTCACAAAACTTAAAGTAGTCACAGGAACAATGTTGGAATATGTTGTAAAAACTTCACTTTTGCTTTCAATATTATACGAGCCTCATTAAGGTGACTCCATGGATATTGAATAGAAAAGAATTTCAAAATATAGTAACTGATTAAAAATAAGATATAAAGCAGTATGTATAGGTTAGTTCCATTTATTAATGCTATCTAATTATAAATGCATTGAATGCTTTCTAAAAGTACACAAATAACTGGTAGAAGCGGTGACCTTGGGGAGACAAAGACCATCATTGGGTAACAACTGGGAAGGGCTACACCCTTTTGTTCATTTAACATAAAAAGCCCAGGCTAAGACTAATAGCCTCCTTATTATTTCCCTGGGAATAATGGGAGTGGGTGTTTTCCAACTCCACATTTTCATGGGGAAAAAATTATTTTATATGTGGAACAAATCTATTTTGAGAAATGTATAAATACAATATACTTACCCACTTTGCGATTGGACATCCGTGAGAGCTTTTTCCTTCTTTCCCCGTATACACTACTATTTCTATCCTTACTGCGTTCCCTTTTTGTCCATACCTGAGTACAAAACACAGCGAAGAGAAAATAATTGTAATATACACTTTTCACATCTTAATGTGCATAAGACACACATTTACAGAAGTAAAAAAAAATAAAATCAATCGTTCCTCATAATTTACTTTCTGTTACAAAATTTACTTTTATGTAGCAGATATTTTACTTGTTATTCAGGTGTTTACTTATCCTTAAAGATCGCTCTTTTTAAAAATGGCCTGGCTCCAAGACAGACAAAAAGAATGTGAATGCAGTGTTGACAGAGGTAATCTGAACTGTTTCTATCATTATTATGCAATAATATAAAGAAATATTTCTGAATTAAACACAGAGAGCCTTGCTTTGTGAGTGTCTTGTTGAGTGCCCATGGCTCATGTGATGAGCGACTCAGCAGGGACACCAGAAAATTATTCTTTTCTTGGGCCCTAAGATATATTCAACTCATACTCCTGAACGTTTTCCATTCACCTCGTGTTTGTTCCCAGAGATGATTTCTCTGCATTGAGCCTGGTTCACAGTCATGAATGATTTTAACAGGGAAGCATATTTCCTCACCTATTCTCCATGATTTCCCTGACAGCAGCAACACTTGGTCCTGCCCCAAGGTGTGTATAATATGGGCCTTTGTCTTTTTGTATAACTCGATCTGTGGAAGGAATAAGATTATTAGACCCAAAGTTTTACAGAATTGCATAGGGGCAAGGAGGAGCTACTTTTACTAATTTTAATTTTTTTTTCAATTCACAACAAATTAGTCTTGACAAGGTTTTGGTAAGCTTTACTAATTAAAATCTAGGGCAATAGGCCCTGGAATTTATCTTGTTCCTTTCTAGCTGCTCTTAATTCATTCTTCCTCTAAGAATAAGAGGAGGAAAAACATGTTTTAAGATGTGAGCTATATTTATTCTTTTATCTCCTGTCTTAAAAAAAAACTATAATAATTGACGTGCAAAATTTAAAAATTATCCAAGAGCAATACATTTTAAAACATGAGCTCAGAATCCTATTAAAATTGAGCCCAGTGGGGGCTGGCCGAGTGGCTCAGTTGGTTAAGAGCTCACTCAAGAGTTTAAGCTCTGAGCAACAGCGGTTCAAGTCCAGCCCGAGCTGAGCAGCCGAGCAGCCGCTGAGCTGCCAACAGGTAGCAGGATGGCTCAGCTAAAAAAAAAACAACACAAAAAAACCAAACAAACAAAAAAATTGAGCCCAGTAATTGCACTAAGAATTTATGCAAATACACACAAGAATGTTCCTAGTTACCATTATTTGTAATATCAAAAAATGAAACACTCTTAACATCCACTAATAAATGATATTAATGGGTTAGGGAATGTTTGTTTACATAGTGTAATACAATAAAGCTATTAAAGCAATGATACTTAAAATAAAAAAATTAAAAACAATGATATTTATAAACATTGAAAAAAATCTAAGACCTTATTAACGTAAAAAAGCGAATTGCAATAAAGTTTTAAAAGATCTTAATTTTGTAACATTTGAATGAAAATTAAAATCAGTAATAATGTCAATTCATACAGAAAAACTGTACCAGAGGTTTTATCTTTATAGACTTAAATGGAACTTAAAAAGAGGTTTCCGGGCTGGGTGAGTGGCTCAATTGGTTAAGAGCTCGCTCAAGAGTGTGAGCTCTGAGCAACAGCGGTTCAATTCCCGGCCTGAGCTGAGCAGTCGTTGAGCAGCCAACCGGTGGCAGGATGGCTCAGCTTAAAAAAAAAAAAAAAAAGAGGTTTCCATCATATTTCTGTACCATTTGAATTTTTGTGTGTGAATTACACATTTCTCAGAAAACAGTATTTTTAACTTAAGTCTCTTAGAATCGTGTCTCACTAGAAGCATGGCAGAATGCATTTCTGTCCATGGTATACCTACACCAAAAAGTCATTATTGAACCATTTTGATTGGACATCAAATACAATTTAAGATTATTTCTGTGGCTTCTTAAACATGCTCTATTGAGTACATTCTAACTTATTATTGGTAATCTAGAACAGTGTTTCTTAACCAGGGGTGGATTTTTCCAGAGGGGACATTTGGCAATATTTTTGTTTGTGACAATTGGGCAGATGTGTGTGTGTGTGTGCACACGCATGCATGCACATGCATGTACATGCACATGTGCCTCTCTGTATTACTGATCTCTACTGGACAGAGGCCAGGAATGCCACTGAACAGCCTATAATGCATAAGACAGTTCCCTTACAACAAAGAATTATTACATCTAAAATGCCAATAGAATTAAATTTATGGAACCCTGATACAGATGTTAATTACTCTTATTTTGCTAGAGCATAATACCTTCATGGAAATCCTTTACCCTTATGATGGTCCCACTTGGGATGAGTTCTGAGTGAGTTTGTTTTGTGTTTCTCTTCTTTAAGCTTCCATTTCTACACAATGGGCACAATAACCTCACATGTCATGACTATAGGAAAACACATTAAGTGACATTATATAAAACAGTCCACAGCAGATAAATAACTTTGAATGCCTGTCTGTGTCAACTCCTACACTATGACTAGTTACTATGTATAAAGATATGGTCTTGAAATTAGACAATCATTCTGTTGAAATCATGCACACAGTACACAGAACTATTAGACTAGCTCAGGTATATACATTTTAATGGAATTTTAAGTTAGAGATCTTTCTTCCATTCATAATGATATTCAGGAAAAAAAAAACCTGTGCCTTTATTACTTCAGATTTTTTAAGCATCAGTGGATGGAGGTTACAAACATAGGCTCTGGAGTTGGGACTGCCTGTCTCTGAATACCAGCTTAGTCATTTATTAGCTGTGAACTTCTCTATGACTCAGTTTCCTCATTTGTAAAGTGGGGATAAAAAGCCTATCCTTTGTAAGGTTGTTGTGAATATAACAAGTCAAGGGCACGGAACAGTATCAGACTTGCAGTAAAAGACCTGAATAGGAGCCATTACTGTTTTTACACTCTTATATCTTAGTCCAAGAAAAACTCTCATTCTCCCAATTCAATCCCAAGACATCATTGTCACCCTTTCCCGATTATGAGTTCCTTTTCATTTGCCTGACGTGATAGGCTGTCAAAACTGTATGCTGAATGATAAACAGAGAAATGGAAGAATTCATTTCAGGATATCAAATGTACTTTGGACAACCAAGAATTAAACGTCATTGCTATACTTCATATATTTTTCTACTGTGGTTAAAAGCAAAATCAGAGTGATATTCTTTATCCTTCCAAACCATCCTTTAACTGCCGATTCTGGAATGTACTAATGAACCATCCGCTTCTAGTAAAAAGATTGCCATTATTCAAGGCAAATCTTGAGTATTTGTTATTTGGGGCCAAATTTTAAGTAAAACTTTAATAATTATACCTATTTTGGGTTCAAAATAGGCTATTTTACAAATTCTGTCTTATCACAAGTTGTATCAAAGCTGAAATAATGAGGCTTCAAGTAGCCTAACAAACTTGAATGCCATAATCTATTTACTCTCCCTAGCTTACAGCTATATATGAGTAAATAAGTTTCTTCTTATATTTGAGCACTGACATGAAATTTGACCATAGACAGTGACTAATCAGTAACAGGACTCAACAAAATAAGCTTTCACATGTTTCAAATATTGAGCAAATTTCTCACAGGGCCTGCCTGAGAATCTTTACTCCAGCAAGATTTTTTGGGGGCTTTTAAGACACTGATAAAATTGTTAATTTCTGAATATTCTCTTTCAGTGACACCTAAGGCACAAAATATACAACTGCATTAGTTAGAAAATGGTCCATGACTCAGCTATTTACACAAATCTATTTTTTGTTGCTGTTGTTGTTACTGTTGTTTCTGGAAATAGGAAATCAAAATTTATTGAACAATTTGATATTTTAACACTACAAGAGGTTTGCAAATTTTTTAACTGGCCAAAATTATGTAATTTTTTCATACATAGGCACACACTTTATATCGCAGAGTACAAAAGCACTAGGCACTGAAAAAGAAATAAAGCAGTTCCAGTTCTTAACCGGGGTAGCAATTACACAGATACTTTTTATGGCTATTTATTAAGTTGTACATATATTGTACGTTTTCTGTATGCAAGTTATATTTCAAAATAAAAAATATTTTTTAACCAAAAAGCTTACGAGTTGAAATTCTTTAGAACACAATAAGAATAAATTGAAATCAAGTATTAAGGGAATTCATTGTTATAGTATGCACAATAAGCAACCCGAGAGACACTTAGCCTTGAGAGAAATCAGAAAACTTTCCACTTGGGAAAGTTTCAAATTATGAGTTGAATTTCCCATTTACTTGAGCAGAATCAATAAAGATTCCACAGAAAAATGGGTATAGAATTATTTAGTCCATCTTAGCTAGAATATGAATGGGGCAAAAATGCCATATACTATAAAATATAACCCAAAATTTGATTCAGTGATCACTTGAGGCAATTAAGTAGGTAAATGAAGAAGAAACACACACACACGCCATACACAGGAACTTACCAAGACAGTTGCAGGTTGGCAGTTCAGAATCTTTTGTTGTGGACACCAGGTTTTTTGTAGGATTAGTAAAGAAGTTCATGGCATAATCATTAAAACTTTTGTGTGCATTGTTTACTGGGGAAAATTCGGATGCTCGAACATTAGATAAACAGCCGTCCTCTTCACTCTTGGTAGAAACCACTGTAATTCCACCTGAATAGACAACATCTACATTCCTAAGAATTTGTGCTGGGTCTGGTAAGGGGGTCTCAGGAGAGATCCCAGGCAACGTTGGCAGTCTCTGATGCATGAGTTGGTCTTTCACATCCTGGTGGAACTGTGTTTGGTCATTGTCAGCTATCGCATTAGCACACTGGTTAGTTGGAGAGGAGGGTTGGAGTAAAGGATGAGCTTTCTGATTGACATTCACTGTTGGCTGTACCTGAGAATTATAAACTTTTCCTGTAAATGCCTGCCCATTGGATTCTGTTTTGAACTGCGATATGGGGAGAGAATCAAATAGATCAACCTTCATCACTTTTTCCTGTGCTAACTCAGGATAATATCGCTCAAATTTTATCTGAGTAAGTGGAGGAAATAGTTTCTTATGTTCTAATGCTGAACTTGTTTGAGTCAGTGGTTTCCATACTTTGGTTATTGGAGGAATTTTCCCCAACAGAATAGGAAAATTATGTGGACCAAATTGACCAAATCTTTGAAATTTAGATGCTATCCAAATGTCATGTAACTTACTATACTCATATGACAACTGTTCCTGCTTTTTCTGCTCATTTTCTTGACAACTTATGACTGCAGGCTTCTTTTTCCGCCGGTCTCTTGATGGGGTAGATTTTGTCTTCTTCTGGGTTGTGTTCTTTTGCTTGGTTAATGATGAGCCATGATTATTTTGTACACTGGAAGGTGGTTTCTGTTGTATTGTGCCCTTTTCCTGACTGTGTTTTTGCTGCATGTTATGTGCAACAAGGTTTGTTGGTGTACTTTCAATCTTTTTTTCATCTGGTTTCATATAATTGAATTTAATTATTGATGCAAGTTGTGTTAACTGTGTTGCAACATCCTCCTCTATTTTACTATGAACTGTATCTTGACATGATAGGTCATCCTTTGACTCCAACTTTTTACTGCTGCCCAGAGACTGGTTACAATACCCCAATTTGTTATTTGTCGGTGGCAACTGATGCAAATTCTTGGAACTGTCAAGAGTAATTTTGCCTTGAGCAACATTTTTATTGGTGTCAATTTTAGATGAACTTGAATTTGATGTATACACAGATATTGAATTTTTGACTTTGGAAGATTCCGGTGACTTTGTGGATGCTTGGATAGCAGCTGAGCTGTCGTGTGACTTAGAAATGATATTTTGGCCATTGAACACCACCGTGTTGCATGCACTTTGCTTTTCCAAAGATGGACAGTGATGAATGCTTTGTGGCTCCCTTTGTAAATTTGGTTCTTGGAGGTCTTTTCTTACAGAATAGAGGATAGCTTTACAGCTATTAAGTAAACTAGCTGTCCTCTGCTCTGTGTCTTCATCCTTCTCTGACTTTGATGGTGACGAATTTTCCGAAGGGGCTTCTGAAAGCTGAGTCAAGGCTTCTATAGCTACCACTTGCTCCAGTGTTAACCTCCTATCTCTCATTAAGGATAGAAGACTTGGTTGAACTGGAGATCCATCTTTTGGTTCTTTACTTGGTATATTTTCTAGAGATTTTGGTTGATCACTCTCATTGGGTGTATTAGTATGACTATTTAAGTTTAAGTTGGCAGGATCTGGAAAAGACTTGCAGTTAAAGCCAGGCTTCTGGAAGACTAAAACATTACTTTTCCCCTTAAGATGGTCACAGCTTACACTAGTAGCAATGGAGCTCATGGCATTTTTATGGTTTGCAGTGTCTTTCAGGAGTTTATAAGAATTGTTTCCAAACGCCTTGCCAAATTCTTCAATGTTGAATTTTTTAAAAGACACATTTGTTTCAGTTGGTAAATAGTGTACATTTTTAATGCCGTTTCTTACAGTTGGTGCAAACAATTTTTGAGGTTCAAGGAGATCAGTAAGTAGGACTTTTTTCCTGTCATCTTCAGTGTTTATCAACTTTTCAGCTTCTGTCACAGTTGCCTTAACCTCTCCTTTGACATGATCATTTAAATGTGATTTCTTGTTTTGCGTCCACTTCTCCACTTCAATACCTGTCATACTTTCTTCATTTCTAGTTACATTTTCAAGGGGTTGTGGGTTCAATTCCAATCTTTGTTCTTCCCCATGACCACATCTACTGTATTCCATGGATTCTGACTTGGGGCCATTTACTGGTTTTTTGTCAAAATCTGCCTGTAAAATAAACATAGCAAATATCTTCAGCTTTAGGAGATAGGGCAAAAAATTTTCTAATAAGGTTATCAATATACAGTCCCAATGGTAATGATGAGAGCTCCAATTGTCCTACATTCTTATTACCAATTAGTATTTTCTGTTTTCACTTCAGTCCTTCTGTGAGAGAGTAGTGACATAATCACCTTTTAAAAAAATTTTTGAAATGAAACTCCCATAAAATAAAAAGTCAATGTTATCATTTAAAATTATACAGTTCAGTGGTTTTTAATATATTCACAAGGTTGTGCAAAAATCACCTCTATCTACCAGAACATTTTCATCATAGTAAGAGAAACCTTGTACCCATTAAGTAATCACTGTCTACTCTCTGCTCTTAAGCTATATTTTGAAAACTTGAAAGAGCTCATCCAAAATGATACCATAAGAATTGGGATAGTAAGGGCATTTCCAGTGATGTCAGGGGCAAATAGAAAGATAAACTCTATACTATTAATATAAATATAAAAAATTTCAAGACTTCTTCTTGAATAAAGATGATATAACTGATTCCAAAGAAAAGAAAAATCAGGCATATTGACTTAAAAAATGAATCAGAGTTCAGAAGGGCAATAATTACACTCAGAATATAAAATATATAAGCATTATTAAATTATATAATTAAATATTAAACAATATTAGTGATCAGGTTACAGGTTACACAAGTTATGTTCAGATTATCAAAATTCATCAAAATGTACAATATACAATGTATGCATTTTCTGTATGTATATTACATTTCATGCTGTCACTTTTAACAAATAAATCTCAAAATGGCCAATTTATTAAATATTCAACAAAAGTGTAAAAAGGAATAATAATTTTTAACATGAAGGGTAGATAAATTAAACTCATGAATGTTAAATAATAAATTATTAAAATGCTGGCAGTTCTAAGCAGTGGAGAAAGTATCAATTTTGTAATAATGTCACAAGAAGGAAGTTTGATCCCTATCTCATAACATGTAATAAAAATTCCAGATATACTAATAATTTAAGTATAAAAGTGATGTAAGAATAAGAAAATTTAGAAAGTAGGGAAAAATCTTCTAAAGCAAAAGTGAAAAGTAAGAAGCCATGAAGTAAACAATAGGCTTTTTTTACTACATTAAATATTACCAATATTTTCTACTTTTGTCCCTCTCAGTCTCCAATATTAATAATTTTAAATGCAAAGACACTATAATATAATGCTTTTCAAATTGCTGATCACAACCCATGAGTACTACCCATTTAGTGCTCTAGTGACAAGTGTTTTTTTTAAGGAATAATTAAAAAAAATATAAGTACCCTATATTTAGTGAAGACAATTACCATATAAATCTTTTATGTATGTGTTTGGATGTGTCTGCGCACTGAATCATGATGTAAAATGTATTCCTTGATATGTACACGTGTCAAAAAAGGTATGAGAAATAGTGGCATAAAAATTCAAGTCAATTGATTGGCAAAATATTCACAATACATGTAAAGAATTACTATTATATATATACATATATGTATACATATATGTATATATATAAACATATATACATACATATTTATATATACACATATATGAGATTTAAATCAGGTTTATTAGATTATAATTTATATATAATAAAATCATCCTTTTTGAGGGAATATTCTATAATTTTTAACATTTTTAACAAATGCAACCACTAGCATAATCAAGATAATAAAAATTTGCATCACCCTAAAAAGTTCTCATGTGCTCCTTCATAGTCAATTTAAGAGTTATTATTGGGCCAGCCGAGTGGCACGATGGTTAAGAACTGGCTTGGGACGCCAGAGGGCCCCGGTTCGGATCCCACATATGAGGGCCAGTGACACTGCCCTCC